GAACCAGCTTCAGTTGACGAATCAAGTTGAAAATTTAATCATTTTACTAGTAACTGAAAATATATGTCAAAAATTATTAAAATCGGATAAACATACGTAGGTGTTTACCTTTTTTTGTCACTCAGTATAGATAGGTATAGCTTACGGAAATGAAAAATTTCCCATACGTAGTACAGTAATGTCCCGAGGTTTCCTATGAGAAACCCCCACATATTTACATATACAGGGACGGCTTGAGTTCAATTTGTACGAGAGAGAGGCGATGTTAGAAAGAGATAGAAGCCGGATGAAAGGCGAAGAACGTCACCACATTGCCTAGCAACGGTGTCGCAGAAGGTCGTACAATCTGCCGCGTCGCCAATATTGTATACCAGTAAGGGCCCCCGCAGACTGCAGCCTTTCCATCGGCCGATAGTTTGGTCGGCTTCTTAATCTGTATGGAGAGGTATGCATATGCGCACATTAGAGCGATTCAATATTGACCGATAACAAAGTTTGATGGGCTTCTCGACTGCTTAATCAGTCTCGGCTAACTTCCACTTGGGCACACTCTACAATTGTTTAGTCGGCAGATAGTTCAGTTCGCTCCGAGCTTTAGCGTCCAACGTGTTTTTTTTGGGTATTCAAGTAATTTGGAATGCAATGTGTAAAATGTCCTACTAACTAATCTATCACTGAGAATGGGATGCACCCAATACTCTAGGAATGTATTCTTGACTTCTCTTCTCCATTGTATGAGAGCAATAATAACATTTCTGGACAATATTGTATTTATTTTCATTGTGCGACCGCTTACTTGAAAAGTAACATATACGTACATTCGTAGTTTATTTACGCCCAGACAAAACAGAACATGCCGAAAAGCGAGATTGTACAGGTCCGTATTTTCCTCATTGGTATTGGATTAATCTAACAAAATAAATGATTATTTTCATAGAAAGAAGCGCACATAATTTTCACAATTTTTTATTGGCTGGAATTACTTGAATCATCCTCCGGATGGTTAATATTAATTATTACAGGTTCAGTTTGAATATACATCGTAAAGTCCTGATCCCACACCATTGTTTCGATTGTCTCTTGTCTTTCCAATGGTTTGCCGTCACTCTGTTGACAGCTTCATAAAACAAATTTTTCACGTCAGAAAATTTGAATATTCTAATGGTTAAAGCCGCATAGTTTAGTTCTATTTGCCCAAATCATTTCAATGGGATTTAGTTTGCAGTGATAAGGGGCTAGCCTCGAAACGGTCTTATTTTGGTTTTTAGCCATTTCGTCAATAACATTAAGATTATATATGGTGCCGCATCGAAAACGAAACAGACGCATTTACTGGCAGCTCAGTTTTTTTTTTAAAACGCTCAGACCCTGAGCGGGGGCGACACCAACCCCAAAGTCTCAAATAGTTAGGGGGGTCGAGTGATACCTTATTTTAAAGGTCTTTCAATTCCCTTTATAATGATATAAAATTTATGTACTTCAGTTTTGAAGATTTATTGATTTAAAGCTTAAATAAAACTAATACATCATCATTAGTGAAGATCAATACATTTGGCAGCAAAGTAATTTAAAAATGAAGAATGAACTGACCCGTTAGGCAAGTAATGTTGAAAATGGCCACCATGACTCTTCATGCAATAATAAAGATTTTGCTCAAAACGTTGCCGCACGTTTTGCAATATTTGAGGAGTAATTTGAAGGCACTCATTCACAATTCTCTGTCGCAGGTTTACTAATGATGCTGGCTGAGTAGTATAGATTTTGCTTTTCAAATGACCCGATATAAAGAAATCCAAAGATGATAAATCTGGCGATCTTGGGGGTCATTCAATGGCACCTCTTCTACCAATCCATCGATCTGGAAACGTCTAATCTAAATATTGTCGAACACGTAATGCGTAATGTGGTGGGTCACCATCCTGTTGGAACATCAACCTATTCGCAATGTACCGCCGATCATTCTGATTTTCAATTATGGCTGTTAGTGCAAGTCTACTTTAAGCTTTAAATCAATAAATCTTTGAAAATACTGAACTGAAGCTTATATGTTTTACGTCATTATAAAGGGAATTGAAAGAACTTTAAAATAAGGTATCACTCGACCCCCCTTTCCATTTAAGATTTTAGGATTGGTGTCACCCCCGCCCAGGGGGCTGCACGTGTTAACGTGATTTTTTGGCAAACTTGTGTCCCCCTCGAACACAAAATCGACGGGTCTGAGCGTTTTTCCAAAAAAAAACTGAACTGGAAGGAAATGCGTCTGTTTAGTTTTCGTTGCGTCACCCTGTATTTATATTCGTGCTGGGCTGACGCAGGTGACAACTGGTATGATGACCGGGTGGCCCTACTATTCGTTGCCTGTGTACTGTGGATAAAAGCACTTTATTCAAATCATACGCAAATTTCCCAAATAATCCCCGGGTTCCTCTTTCCCTTTTTTTCGATAATTGCCTCCAGAAGCCTCAAGATCCGCCAATGCAACAGAAAAGGCCATTTCCATGCTATTTAGGGCAAAAGTGTTTCGTCGATTTTCACAGATACGTATTAACAAAGAAAGAGACTCCTAGTGGTTGCGATTTTGTTCATTATCTGCCATTAAAGATGCTGATGATCGACTAAAGAGCAGCAGAATGTAGAAACAGATTATAGACAACTCTGGTTTAAAATGACTTTAAATATATGCGAGAAAAACAATAACAAATGTTGCCTGTGTAAAATGAAATTTTGCAAGGCTCAAATTTTTTTAATTTCCTAAGGCCCCCTACTATTGTAGGGCGCGTTTATGGCCTCCTTGATTGTCATACTCCTTTCTCTCCTTCAAAAGTTTCTAGATTACACGTGTCCCGTGTCAGCGTCAGCGATCTCCTATTGTGAAGATATGTTTTCTTTTTAAATTGTAGGAAATTTCACGCTGATAAAACATGATATAACTCAAAAGCAAGCACAATTTGATGCAAATAGATTTTTGTGACATAACCTCAAAATAGAGCGCTGACACGGAGAAGTAGAAAACTATGACAATCAAGGAGGCCATAAAGGTGCCCTACAATTGTAGGGACGACTGACGATACGGGCCTAAGGGCGGTGATACAGGAAATAGTAGCGATATTGATAAGACATAATCTAGATGTCAAATTAACACAGAGTGCTTATAAACAGGGGTCGTGAAATAACTTTTAGTTAGACAAAATATAGGGTGTTTCACAACTTATCGACAAATTTTAACCACATATGATATGCACTGTTACGAAAGAAGTTGATTGCTCAAAAAAATATAATAAAAGCCCTACAGAAATGGAAATAATAAAATAATACAATTTAACAGTTCACTTACTTATGAAAGCTGTTCAAAATTATTTCAATTGACTGCAATGCAAACTTGGCCACGTCTAATCCAATTTCCGCGCACTAATTCAAATACACCTCCTTCCTGCTGTGCCCGAAGGCGCCAATATTCGGTCACGCAGTTCTTCAATATTCTGAACTGGAGTACTGTATACCTCGTTTTTCAAGTATCCCCATAAAAAAAGTCCAGAGGATTTAGAACGGGAGACCGTGGAGGCCATGCAATTGGTCCACCCCTTCCGATCCAGCGTATCTGGTATACCTGATTTAAAAAATCACGAACTTCTAAACGAAAATGCGGAGGTTCCCCATCGTGCAGAAACCACATCCGTGCGCGGACATCCATCTTCAAGAAGGACTGGCAAATCATTCCGAAGAAATTCCAAGTACTGGTGACCCTCCATCCGATCTGGCAATATGAACGGTCTAATTAGACGTTCATCGACAATACCTGCCCAAACGTTTAAAGAAAACCGATGTTGGAAGTGTGTCTGGACCACTGCGTGAGGATTCTCAAAGGACCAAACTTGTGTATTATGAAGATCCCATTACGAGTAAAGATAGCTTCATCGGTGGCCAAAATATCAGATGTAAAAAGGGGCACGTAAATCAATGTAACTAAATGTTTCGTGATGTGGTATGTGCCTATCCGAAAATCGGTGTGCATTAAAACGAGAAGCCGCTCGCGAATTTTGCCCTGCTTCCCCGTACGCTAAAACAATGTCCACTAACTCCTCATTAGAGTACACATTTGCCATTTTTATTAATAAATAACTAAAAACATAAACTTGCAAAATACTTTCTTATCTATCTCCACAAAAATCGACCGTTCTTCATTCAGATCACCTACGATACAGATTAAACCCTATTTGCACGTTCTTGTCAGTATGGGAAAACAAAAAATTCCTGGTATTTTGTTTCCGTCAGTTGTTTGGTACAACATTTGCTACAATAAATTATTAATGCATGTTTTAATATCACGACGATGAACGCAAAATACAGATATTTATTTTTCAATTTATTATTGAAACTCAGGTTTATAACTTAATTTCTGTAGAACCCTGGCTGAGAAACGGTTCAGTAAACGGGCTTAGTATACCGGGCTATACGCTTTTTAGCGATACTCCGGACACTAAGCCCAGAGCTTGCGTAATGACTTCCGTCAACTCATGGCAACTTAAAGAATTTACATTTAGAGACTTAGTTGCAGTCAGAATTAGATATAAGAAGGAAGGCAGTGACAGGGACTTGGTTGTCTGTTCGGCTTACCTTCCTTACGATTCAAGAGACCCTCCTCCGTCTAAGGAAATGGGGGACCTTGTCGCATTCTGTAGGGATTCTGGACTCGACCTTGTGATTGGATGCGACAGTAATGCCCATCACGTTGCGTGGGGCAGCTCGAACACCAACAGACGAGGCGAAGACCTGATGGAGTTTCTTGGGGCATCGAACCTTGAGGTTCTGAATGTCGGTAACATGCCCACTTTCAGCAATAGTGTAAGAGAAGAGGTTATCGACGTAACACTGAGCACGCTTAACTTAGCTCAGGACATCAGGGACTGGAAAGTGTCTCTAACACCCTCTCTATCGGATCACAGGTATATACTGTTCAAGACTGATGGAGAGATTCCGGATAAATATGCTCGGAATCCCAGGCATACTAGATGGGGGTCCTTTAGGGCAGACATTGACAGTAAGCTTGGAGCGGTCCCATACAGGCTTGGCAGGGGCTCTGACATAGAAGCAGCTGTCGAGTCTCTGAGCAGGGACTTGACGGCCGCATATGAGGAAAACTGCCCGTTACGCAAAGTACAAGGTAAGGGCAAGGCAACCTTCTGGACCAAAGATTTAGAGGATAGAAAACGAGCGGTGCACAAACTTCTTAGCAGAGTTAAGCACAGGAGAGGTTCTCCTCTATGGGAAGAATACAAAAAGGCATTGCAGGAGTACAAAAAGGAGATTAGAAGGGCCTCCAGAGAATCCTGGAGGCACTTCTGTCAGTCCATAAATGACATTCCTGCTACTGCAAGAATACACAGAGTCCTATGCAAAGACACTAAAGCAAGATTGGGATCTCTGCATGATCCCTCGGGAGGGAACACTACTTCCGAGGAAGATACTCTGAGGCTTCTGATGGATACGCACTTTCCCGGTTCCACAGTAGCGCGATCAATCACAGAGTGCATGCAGTTGCGCAGGCCCTCAAGGGAGGACTGGCGCACGGCAAGGGAGATTGTCACCTTCGAAAGGACGGTATGGGCAGTAGATTCGTTTGCCCCATACAAAAGTCCAGGTCTGGACGGCGTATTTCCGGCCATGTTACAGCAGGGACGGATTTCGGTTGTTCCTTACCTGTTGAATGTGTTTCGAGCATGTGTGGCCACGGGCTTCACACCTAGAAGTTGGCGGCAGGCTAAAGTGGTATTCATTCCTAAACCGGGCAGAGATAGATATACTGGCCCGAAGGATTTTCGACCGATTACTCTTTCATCTTTTGTGCTTAAGACCCTGGAAAGGATAGTTGATAGATACCTAAGGGATGGCCCACTGGAAAGGTGTGTCATTCATGCAAATCAGTTTGCATACCAAGCTGGAAAATCGACTGATCTGGCCTTACACAATCTGGTTGGGAGGCTGGAGAAGACTCTAGATCAGCGAGAAGTGGCACTCGTGGCCTTCTTAGATATTGAAGGTGCATTTAATTGCACCACAACCGACTCTATCAGACAGGCCTTGGTTAGACACGGGGTTGGATCAATCCTAATAGATTGGGTCCTCTCTACTCTGGAGGGTCGGGTAACAACAGCTATGCTGAATAACGTAAGCTGCAGCGTGAACGTAGCTAGAGGCTGCCCTCAGGGTGGAGTTCTGTCACCCCTACTGTGGTGTATCGTGGTGAACGAACTGCTCGTTAGGCTCAACAGTATGGGTGTCTACGTGCAAGCCTATGCTGATGACGTAAGCATAGTGGTTAGGGGGCGTTTCTGTAGAACAGTCTCGGAAATTATGCAGGGCGCTCTGCGCTCCGTGGAATCGTGGTGTAGGGAAGTCGATCTTTCTGTTAATGCTGAAAAGACCGAGCTGATCCTATTCACTAGGAGAAGAAGGCTTGACGGACTGGTCATGCCTACCTTCTTTGGGACTAGATTAGTTTTGTCCCAGTCAGTGAAATATCTGGGAATTATCCTGGACTGCAAACTGAACTGGAGAGAGCATGTGGAACACAAGGTTAGCAAGGCTCGCAATTCGATGTGGGCTTGTAGACGTGTTGTCGGTGTAAGGTGGGGGCTTAAACCCAAAGTGGTATACTGGCTCTACACGACGATAGTACGTCCATCTCTCTTGTACGGCTCCCTGGTCTGGTGGCCTTGCATTAGAACTGAGTCAACTAAGGCCAAACTCAATAAAATTCAGCGTTTGGCCTGTATTAGCATTACAAGCGCAGTGCGAACAACGCCATTGAGTGCAATGGAAGCTCTGTTGGATCTCCCACCGTTGGATCTGGTGATCCGCGGTGAAGCGAGAGTAGTCGCTCATCGACTGTGGAGTCAGGGCAGCTGGGCTTTCTTGAATCCGGTCAAGGGGCATACTGCCATATTAGTCGAATTAGATAGGGAGGACCCCGTCCTTCTAAGCAGGGGTGATCGTATTACCCCTAAATATCGCTTCAACCGCAAGTTCATTGTGGAGTACCCAACGAGGGAGGAGTGGGACGCCGGTAGCCGAGGACTCTCCGAAGTGAGCGGGCAGGTCTGGTACACGGACGGCTCGGTCACCGAAGAGGGCTCAGGTGCTGGGGTCTCTGGACCTAGAACTAGGCTATCTCTGCCTCTCGGTGAGTACACCACCATTTTCCAGGCGGAAATCTTTGCGATTCTGGCTTGTGTATCTCACATTCTGGAGGAGGGTGGGCCTAGGAGAAGAATAACAATCTTATCCGACAGCCAGGCTGCAATGAAAGCACTAAGTGCATGTAAGATTACTTCGAGTCTTGTATTGCAATGCAGGGAGGCTCTGGATTGCCTCGCAGCGAGGCATCCGGTATCGTTAATATGGGTACCGGGGCACGCTGGGATAAGGGGCAATGAGACGGCGGACACTCTGGCGAAAACAGGATCAGCCAGCAAGCTCGTTGGTCCTGAGCCAGCTCTAGGAGTAACCGCGCATAAAGCTAGGAGGAAAATGGAGACGTGGGTTGCAAGACAACACTCTCAGAAATGGAGAAGTATCTCTAGACATCTCCGCCAGGCACGAGAGCTCATTGAAGGGCCCAGTGCTAAGGATGGACGCTTCTGCCTATCTCTGGGTAGAGCCAACCTAAGGTTGCTGGTGGGACTGTTGTCTGGCCATAACACGTTAAGGCGGCACCTGCACGTGATGGGGGTGGCTGAGGATCCCTTATGCGAACGCTGCGGAGTAGAGGAAGAGACCTCGGCGCACGTTTTGTGTCGCTGTGAAGCTCTTAGCTACTATAGGCCAGACTATACTGGGGTCCATTACTTTGGACCCTCAGGACGTAAAGGAGCTTGGACTCAAGGCGATTCTCAACTTCGCTAAAAGGGCGAGGCTTGTGATTTAAGTATTGTAGAGGTGCATAAGGGCCCGCTTAAGCGGCCTATGCACTGGCTCCTTATGGTGGCCGGGATGCCTCTAAAATTCAAGATTCATTCATTCATTCATTCATTCTGTAGAACTTTTATTACATTTTTTGACAAATCAACTTATTTCGTAACGGTGCATATGTGGTAAAAAATTTGTCGGATAAGTTGTGAAACACCCTGTATATAGTGGAGTAGGATATTGACATAATTATGTACACGTTCTACTTACATATAAAGTATTTACATGCATGGGACTAGACAGTGGAATAGAAATTGGCAAACTTTGACCACTACAGAGGAAAAAAATATGTTGCTGTTTTAAAATATCCATTACATTTTGAATAAGGTATTAAATTTAATACGAATTGCCTCCTCTGATAAGTTTTTGTCATTCTACTGCTTTTGAACAATAATTGGCTTGAATATTTAACATTGAGTCCGTGTAAAAACTTATTTTTATACCCTGTACCTCTTGTGAAGGGTAGAGGAATATTGCCGAAGGATAGGATCAGTTTGACCTATCCCTTAATCTACGATCATGTTTTCTCGACAAGGAGTTCCATAATAACGTTGCAATTGTTTACGCCTTGGGGAGGACTAAGGATTGCGTTTGGTATTATTAGGGGAAATGCGGAATGCATATTGGCTCACGTACCTGAAGGCATACAATGGCGGCGTATTAGGGCTGGGAGATAAGATTTATGAAGGTCATAGTAGTAGAACAGCATCTCCCAGGTTAGAACATTCCTTACCAAATTGTGATTTCCTATGACAATGCAAAAATGACAAAAATCTAAATTCATAAATATCATGGTATGATAAATAGAAACAAGGAAAATAAAAATACGCAGCAGGCTGTGATCAAAAACAAGACAAAATAAAAAATCTAACGACACGTGGTACTCCAAGCTGTTAACATGCAAGTACCACTGCGCCTGATGCTGCTTAGCTTAGGACGAGAGTCATTGAGCCATTCACTTCTTAATTGTTCTTGCGCAGTTTACTCCACAATAAGACGTATTGTCCATATATTAGTAACATAGGTTTTAATGTTCCTCACTTAGGTAACCGTTATGTGCTTCATTTTCCTGTGATTTCTGCCACACCAATGTTTTGTCCAATCCTGTGTACACGATTCAATAGCTTTAGTAACTGCGAGATTTTTAATCACACTAAATCTCGTGTCATCGAACTTTACCCTAATGAAGTTATTGTTAACTATTACTTATACAGGGTGGCGCATCGAATACGAAACAGACGCATTTAATGGCAAGCTCATTTTTTTTTAAAGCGCTCAGACCCGTCGTTTTTGTTTTCGTGGGGGACACAAGTTTGGCAAAAAATCACGTTAGCACGCGCAGCCCCCTAGGAGGGGGTGACACCACCCCCAAAATCTTAAATGGAAAAGGGAGTCGAGTGATACCTTATTTTAAAGGTCTTTCAATTCCCTTTATAATGATATAAAATTAATGTACTTCAGTTCAGTAGTTCTGAAGATTTATTGATTTAAGCTTAAATAAAACTAATACATCATCATTACTGAAATCAATACATTAGCAGCAAAGTATTTAAAAATGAAGAAATGAACTGACCCGTTAGGTAAGCAAATGTTGAAAATGGCCACCATGACTCTCTATGCAATAATAAGATTTAAATCAATAAATCTTCGAAACTACTGAACTGAAGTACATTAATTTTATAGCATTATAAAGGAAATTGAAAGACCTTTAAAATAAGGTATTACTCGGACCCCCCTTTCCATTTAAGATTGCAGGGTTGGTGTCACCCCCGCCCAGGGGGCTGCACGTGTTAACGTAATTTTTTGCCAAACTTTGTGTCCCCCTCGAAAACAAAATCGACGGGTCTGAGCGTTTTTCCAAAAAACAACTGAGCTGCCAGTAAATGCGTCTGTTTCGTTTTCGATGCGCCACTCTGATATTGTTTATCTTATCTATATATTTGTCTACTGTGCTTAATTGATATCTCCTGCAATTATGTGTGTCTGCCCGTTGGAAATAAACTTATTATTATTAAGTACATGCTGTTTGCGGTATTAAAGCACATTTGTCTCCATTCCAGGTTGTAACATAAGTATTTGTATCAATACCAAATGCATGAAAAATATGTATATGTTTTACGATCGATACTCGAATTCGGAATTTATCTACCCGAAAAAAATGTACAAACCAGTTGTGAGCAACCAATGTCAGTCACAAAACATATAACCTGAAGGAAGGTTAATCCATGCTATTCAATGACATCACGGTGACTTGTGTGGATGTCAGCGGCCATTTTTTGAGGGTACGACATGGTTGCCAGATTGTGCACTAATATCCCGTTCCACCCCCCTGGTCCCAGTGGAGTACGCTTCGCCAACTGTTGAAATATACTCTACTATGCTTTATAAGACTATTCGTGGATTTTTTCCAAAATCGTTGCACAACACTTTAAAAATGCAAATGAAAATTAAAATTATTTCCATGATGCCCCAAAATAGCTACGTCGGTACCTCGGGTGATACATCTCGACAGTAGGAATGTTCGATACGATCCTATATTTAGAAGATCGATACTTTTGCTTTCCATACCCGATAATATATAAAATTATTTCCATGCTTTAAAATGAGCAACTACATTTTTGTCGGGTACTGTTCGAATTGAGAGTATTGATCGTAACATACACAACTATTTTGTCTTACAGGTACTTGGTATTACCAGGATCCGACGCCTAATAATAGAACATCATTTACTGATACCATAGATGCTATATTTTGAACCCCGTCCCCTCTACAACACCAACTCACAGTTTCAAGAGTTTCAGGAACGTCCCAAATAAGTTTGGGTGAGTTTTATTGTTTCGTGTTTACGTGTAGCTCCGCCGTCACTGTATCGATTTTCAAAACATACAATGCTTTTTCGTCCTTCTTTATAGTTGTAACCTTGGTGCCAAAATGCATTAATATCCAAGTTATAAAAGGATCAAGCATACCGAGAAACAGACGGCAGACCGACGGAACTGAGTGACATGGCTTTTGGTGATATGCATATGCAAAAAACTCAATATCTCGTTTTTCCGGACTGCAATGCTGCCTCGCGTGGAAAGTAAATGTTACTCGACTAGCTCCATACTAGTTTTCGGGCAACAATGGCTGGATGGGGCACTGTAATTGAAATTGGCGACACCTTATCTACACGTGACAGAAATAACAAAAACTCCAAAGTCAGCCTTGTGTCAAACCACTATTTTCAAATAGCAGCAAAATTGCGAAGCTTTCTACCTACTATAAAGTTTCTCTAACTACTCGTGAACGTGACGAACACCTCTAACTTTGGCACCGTAAAATAAGAAGCACATGAAATTTACATATATGTTCTAACATCATATCATCACTATGCCAGGACCGCATCTCATGTACGTTATGTATGACTTTTCATCTTACTGATTTAGTCCAGCCGCTGTAAGGAGCCCAATGTGCGATCATTTTGTCAATGGATCTCACTTGTCTACCTTTTGTCCTACTTTTTATCCCTGCTTCAGCTCAACTCCAGATTGGTGACAGGCAAGCAGACAATTTAAGTAGTTTAGGTCTTCAGAAATTTTCAGTATCAATGGCAATATAGAATTGACGGTAGTAACTGCATATTGAAAACCAAAATAAAAGATTACTGGATAACTTTACAGCAATATTGAATTGAATTGAACAGATAGGGATAGCTAAAGATTGAGAGGTCTAGACTGATGAGAAACTTAATTCATAAAAGGCACCGGTATTTGCCAGAAATCCATGTACATCTTTCTACGTCATTTTCTTCGATTCCAGTATGCATTTCTATTTCCTGTTTTCTTAAATTTTTCAAACCTCTGTGAAGCAATTTTGTATTGCCATTTCTATTTTGTTGCATCTTCTCACCAATTCATCCCATGATCTTTTCTTGTCGTTCTGTATTTTCTTTTTAACCCTTGTTCTTTGTTCTTCATATTGTTTGTTTTTCTTCTCTTAGTTTTTTATTTCTTGTTCCATCACGATGTACTTCTTTTCTCCTCTAACGCTCATCCTCCTATTCTCTCTTCAATGACTATTCATTATTGGTTTGAAAGCTTACCATAAGCACTCCAAAACGCTCATCCTCTCCCAGTTTCTCTTTTCCATCTCTCCATCAAACTCTCTTTCAATGTTTTTCCTTCTGCGTTCACCTAATGTATATGCTTTTTTTTTAAATGCATATATTCGTACTCGTTTTTCTACTTTTTTACTCTAACATCATGCATTGTTCTTTTGTACCTTTTTGTAGGAATTCGAAGCTAACGATAGATTTCTCGTTTTGGTACATCTGAAACTGAAGCCCTGCTTTGCCATCTCAAGGCTGCGTCTAATATTATTTTCTCATACGACAAACATCATAGTTCCTTTTAGATATCGGAGTATATTACTTCTAAATCCCGAACATACAAACATATACCAGGCAATTGACATAAAAAACTCCTACCTGAAATGACGCTTAGATCTAGTGAATTCTAAAAAAAATTATACTGTTCAAATGTATCTCTTTAAATATTAAGACAAATAGTACTGTTGGCGCCATCTGTTGGGCGAGTCTCCTACTCGCCAGAGCTTAATGGTCGATCTCTGGTTTTACGCAAACCACGACCGCACCAGCCGCCTGGCGGCGTCTGTGAAGACCGGTGACATTGGATCGCCTTCTAGATCGACGCGGAGTGACCTCCAGTATTCTAGATGCCGCTTTGCGGTTCACGAGACCTTTCTCGAAGCAGCAATGGGGACTATATATAACCCGGTGGCCGGGAGATGGAAGCAGAGTACTGGATACGGTAGACTAGCAGAGCGGAGTGGAGTATAGGGCAGTCAATGGCGACATAAGTATTAGTCAGACATAAATAATGGTGTATGTTCTGTCGAGTTGAATAAGTTAGTGCATTTCTTTTTGTGGGATCCGA